GCCGATGCTTTCATGAAGGCTCCTGGGTCCTACAAAATAGCGCAGAGGATGGGCTGGGAAGATCTGTTTCTTATCTCTAGATCCTCGAGGCGTTTGCAAGGACCAATGGGAGTGCCTTTAAGGTTTGGGGTCAGAGCTGAAAAACAAGGGAAACCTTACAAGTCTCTAAATCCTTTCAGATGGGTCCATCTCATTCCTACAAACAGCCCACTAACAAAAACCCAGCTTCCTGAACTGGCTGAGACTGAAGGCCTCCCCGAGGCTTTTGCCTTAAGATTCCCTTCAAACGTGGAACCAAACACAACCCCTAGTATCTACGGGGTGGGGTGGTGGGGTGGGGGGAACTACCTAAAATAATAATAATGATGAACATCACCTGTGAGTCATGTGCTCTTAAAAAAAAAAAAAATCACCTGCATGAGACCCAATGGTCAATGAGACTTTGAAACGAAAATGAGAAGGTAAGGAAGTGAGAAAATTAGATTCACGGAAGTGGAATCACCAGACCAAAGTTGCGGAGGTACTATCTGCATTGTAAAGAGGAGTTCAAGGTCACTGCACAACTTGTGTAGAAATTGTTGGTTGGGAACCTACACTGCCTATGTCAACACAATCAAGTCTGTATATTGTTCTTGAGGAAGCCATCCCTGTACAATGACATTGGGCTGCTTATAAACCATAAAATGAACCAGCGCATTCTCTAAGAGGCAGCATCATGTGCTCATGGTCACGTGCCAGAAGGCTTTCGATGTCAAGGGCCAGTGGTCCTGGAAGAACTCCTGCACTTCCCCTCTTCCTGACTGATGGGAAGACTTGGATGTTCTCCTTCTATTTCAGGGCTTCTGCTTTCTTTCTCTTCCTCTTTCCCTCTCTGTTTCTTCTCAGTTGCAGGAAAGGGGATAGCAACGATGAGACTAATAGAGGCACATGTCCTTGAGGATCGAGCTCATGGGGCATCCCTTGTTTCCAGCACACGGTGCCACTCAAATTCCTGGCACTTCCTCTGTTGAAGTCTGGAGTTGGTCTTTGGTGCTCCAACTACCGTGCTGTTTTGATTCTTTCAATTTTTTGGCTTGAAACAATTCCGTTTGCCACAGGTTTGTCCCTCTAACTCACAAGACTCACAAACTGAGTCGATGGGCCTGAGAAGTTGCCATGTAGCTCCGCCCACTTCCACTGGCCTGGGGGGATACTTGAGTTGCACTTTGTCTGACTCTGTAAGATGTATACTTCAATTGTTAGCTCTTTTTTTTCATGGATACGTGTTTTAACATTTATTCTAAAATATATGAGAGGGCTTCAGAAAAGCTGGTGGGAAATCCCATTATCTTTTTATTTCATTTTCTCAGGAACTTTTTGAAGCCCCTCATCTATGGTCTGGAAGAGTAAAACCCCAAACTCCCAACTAAACCCACTGTCATCGAGTGGATCCTGACATACAGCAACTGGATAGGACAGGACATAACTCTTTACTGGAGCAGAAAGCCTCATCTTTCTCTCACGGAGTAGCTGGTGGTTTCAAACTGTGGACCCTGTGGTCAGTGATGAGTTTTCACAAAGCTGATCGCTGGATTTAAATTCCACTTTATTTGAACATTCTTTAAGTATGCTTTTTTCACTCCCATTTTAATCATTTTGTGCCCATGCTATTATTACTTTGATTTTAATAGTCGAGGAGCCCTGGTGGTGCAGTGGGTTGAGTGTTGGTTGGCAGTCGGAACCCACCGGTCACTGAGCATGAGATCAAGGAGGCAGTCTGCTTCCATAACACTTTACCACTCTGTCCACAGTTCCAGTCTGTCCCACAGAGCCCCTATGAATTACGGTCAGCTCCCAGGGGAGTGGGCTTGAGGGAGACGAGTTCTGAGGTAGATCCTAATGGGAATGTCTGTTCTGGAAAAGAAGAAGTGATTGCAGAAGGATGGGAGGCTGTAGCTCTCCAGGATGCTTCATGTGCCCGGGATTCATTTCCCTTCTGGGCGGCTCCGTTTCTTTTCCTGCGTCCACAATTCCGACCTGTCGCACTGCTCGCTGGTCTGGTGAAAATGGCCACAGCCGTTGGTAGCTTACCTGCACAAGTCTGAGGCAAATGTGCAAGTCTTTGTGATCTTGCCTCTTCCCTTGTCATTTTAATTTCACAAAGATTATTTTCTTAAAGAGCACAATTCTCATAGCAGACCTACTTTGCCAATTAAAATAAGCGAGTTGGGAGTTCCAAAACGACTTCAGGGGATAGTTTGGGTTACAGGGAGCTCATCCAGGCTCATTGACTCCAGAAAGCCTGGCTTCCATTGAGAATTTGAAACTCTCTTTTCCACTGTCCCCTTTTGATCAGAATTCTTTTCTAGTCTTTGATCAAAACATTCAGTAATGGTAGCCAGGTACCATCCAGTTCTTGTGGTCTCCTGGCAAAGAAGGACGTTCATGGAGGCAGCCAGATATGTGTTCAATCTTTCTCCAGGAAACCAGTCTTATTTGATGATCCGTCTTTCCAGCTGCCATCGGGTGACAAGTTCCTGTCATGTTGCCACCCACTACTTCTCTCTATTCCGATTTCGTCCACGACTCTTGAGTGGAGAGGCAACAGTGAAAGGAAGTAGTTATCCAGAATTTCTGAATCTCCACCTTTTAGAAAGATTGCTTACGGAAATAGAAAGACACTTGAATTCTCTGCTAACCCTTCCCCACTGGTTGTTTGCCCTTGAGCCGTTAATTCTCTACCACCGCCACAACCCCAAAAGAGGTTGGCACGCATATCTTCAAGGATGAGAATTCATCTTACCACCTTACATTACGAGAAAGAAATCTTCCGAGTTGCCAAGAGCAGAGATCGTGTCAGGCTCACCTCCATCTCCCATGCAACATCTGGGCAGTAACTTAATAGGGACCCAATAAATGTCTGCCAAGTCAAATGGAAATGCCACATGACATATGCGTTCTCGTGACACTCAGTTCATTAATACATAGGGACCACAAAGGTACATGTAACAGATCCTTCCAACAAACAGAAGAGGGTGCATGGTCTAATAGTCTCTACACTACAGCGGAAATGGAGGAAGTGGGCTAAGTGTTGGACTATCAGCCGCAAGGTCAGTGGTTCATACCCATCAGCCTCCCCTTGGGACAAAGAGGTGGCTTTCTGCTCCTATATAGATTTGCATCCTCAAAAACCCAAAGGGACAGTTCTAGTCTGTCCTAGAGGCTCCCTATGAGTTGGAATCCACTTGATGGCAGTGGGTTTGGCTGGTAAGGTGGTGTAAGGGTTAGCATATTGGACTGCTAACCACAAAGTCAGAGGTTCAAACCCACCAGCCACTCTGCCTATGAAGATTTACAGTCTCAGAAACCCGAGGGAGCAGTTCAGCAGAACTGATTTGATGTCAGTGAGCCTGAGAGCAACAGTGGCGATTACAGCAAACTCGGAGCCATTAACTTGCTAGCTAAAACAAACCAAGACTGGGAGTGTACTTTTAGTTTTTCTAATCTGTAGAGCTGGGTGAAAAATGTCTACTTTGTTGGATGAGGGAAATTATGCACGCAGAAGTGAGTCGTGCACGATGCGCTCTCGTTGGGCACTGTTGAGTCAGTTAGGACTGGTCCATCAGAGAAGCTGCCCCGCCGTAGGGTCTTCTAGGTGAGGGTCTGCATGGGAGCCAATCCGCGGGACTTTCTCGCTGGGAGATGCCGCCAGTGGGATGGAATCACCCACCTTTCTGTTAGCAGCTAAATCCTTAACCACTGTGCCACCAGGGCTCCTTCAGACATTTAGGGAGCAACACACCGAAAATGTCAGGGCTTTCCCCAATAACCAGACCACAGTCGCTGCCTCAGAGAGGATGCCACATCTCAGCATGCTCATCGCCCTGCCGTTCCACTTCAGCAAGGACGGCCATTGGTCTCTAAGTGTCCACTCAGCCAGTACAGTTTCAAAACCCATGCCCAGGGTGCTAGAAGTGTCTGGAAGATTTATAAGCAACTGTATAGCACCTCCCCCTCCCCTTATTTTTCCAATTTTAAATATGAAAAACTTTACTGTCTGTGCTTTATTTTTTTTATATCCAGACCAAGGGGGGCTTCAAAATGTTCACAGAATGTTTTCATTCTTTTATTTCCATGTTTGAAGCCCCCTCACACTGTTTGCTTGGTTTATTTTTTTGCAAAGATGGATTAAATATAAGAACTTCCACTAATTTCTTGCATCTCGCCATTTTATTTCTTGGCTTTTTGTTTGTTTTTTTAAAGACAGGATTAGCTCAAGTCTTTCAACTATTCACGACGTCATTACTTCCTCTCACTCTTTTTGAGAAATCCTAAATTTGAGAAAGTGCCTTCAAGTGCCCCCAAGCTTGAACTATGACACTTCTCCGGGGGTCCTTTGTCAACAGCAGTCCTAAGAGCTAGTGAGACCAGTGGTTCTGTTACTTAATAACACATGCTGTCTTCCTGGTCAGGATTGGGAATTGCCAGGGCTGAGGAAGAAGGGATTCATAATCGCACACCTCCGTCAGCAGGCCCGCCTCTGACCCCACCCCCAAGTCCCGTTTGGGGCTGCAGTTCACATTCTGGGAGTACATAAGACCTCAGCCAGCTGCCCTCTTTGCCCTTGCTGGGTGACAGAAGGTGGCCAATCTCCAATCGCACCACCTGGAAGGGAAGCCCGGGGCCTTCCCTCACCTGTTCCTCTCATTGACGTGGAACTGAACACCTCCTCGCATGTAGGACGTGCCGTCCCGCACCGCCACTTCATGCCTGTCATTGTTACAGCAGCAGCACAGATAAATAAGCCCGAGGCCCTCATACGAGTCGGATGTCATGGGCCCCGGTCTCCTGGGGGCCTGCTTCCTGTTATTTTTCCAGTCTTGTTGGGGCTCAGCGAGGGTTGAGCCTTCTCTGCCCAATGGATGGAATCGTTGCATCATTTCAACCCTCAGAAGTTTCTGGAGATTTTTCCAGCAGCCCTCGGCCCCGAGCGCTAGCTAAAGTGTCCCTTTCTTTTGCAGACTGCTAGCACCTTGGTTGTGGCTGACTCCAGGGTCTCTGGATGCTACCGTTGCATGGCTTCCAATAAAGTGGGGACAGTGGAAAGAAGCATAAGCTTTTATGTCACAGGTAAGCCACATATCCTGCACTCAAGGAAGGGGGGTGGGGGGGTGTCGCCTTGTCACCGTGTCACCTCCCTGTCTCCTCTGCTGGGTTTGCTTTTAGTGCACTTATGCTGGAGTGGTTTTTGTTTCAAAAACAAAGCCCTCTCCATAGGATTGTCAGACTTCTGAGTAGCTTCATCCTCGCTCTCAGGAATGGAATTCTACAGCCCCATTGAGTCTCCTAGCAAGTTATTTCCATGAATTCTCTTAAGAGTTATTTGTGTATGAAGGGAGTTTCAAAAAATAGGTGGAAAACTTCCATTATCTTTTCATTCCATTTTTCCACAAGCTTGTTTGAAGCCGCCCCCCTCCCCACCCACATTTGTCTCCCTCACAGGTGAATTTGGGGTCCTCTCGTGGTCTTTACTGAACCCCCTTCAGGGCTGAGCACAGGGTCAGGCAGCAAGCAGTCCAGGAAACTCAAGGATCACGCTGAAAAACAAAGCAGTGAATGGCTTCACAGCTTCGACCATTCCAACCTTTGAGGCTCTAGAGAATTCTGAAAATAATGTCTTATTCTATATAGTAAAGGTGCACCTTTCTGGTGGCCTTTAAACATTCTAGCCTAAACACGATGGCCTCTGCAAATCTTAAAGCCTCCGAGGCACACAAGTGACACTCCCTGTGTCCCTCCATGGGCACAGGAAGGAAGTAAGCAGCTCAAAGTATAAAAACAATTGCCTGGCTCCACACAGCCCCCATTTCTGAGGAAATGTGGGCAGCCTGCCAGCTCTCTGGAAACTTTGCACTGCATGGGGCAGGCTGCAGCTTTTGCTCAGAATTCTCTAGAAAGGAATGGGAAGGTCCAGTTTCATGAGACATGCAGCTCCTCAGATACCTGATAGGCCCTGGGCAAGTTAGGCTGGCCCCGGGAAAGCCATGTCTTGGGGGACAGCTGTGAGGGGAGGGGGCTCTCAGAGAAGGTTAGTGCTGAGTGGGGCGTGAGAGGTTAGTCACAGTGTGCACACCTCCTTCTCTCAAGCTCAAGATGAGAGAGGGGATTTGGGGAGACAAGCGGTGAAGGGGGACTCAAGGAAGGGGAGCCTCTAGAACAACTCAACCCCAGTCCTCTCAGACCAGAGAGCTGTGAGGCCACGCGAAGCTCTGTGTCGTAAAATCCCTTTATGTAAAGGGGGGTTCAGGTGTAGATGTCAATACAAAGCTTTTGTGTCAACCTTATCCTCATTCAGTCAGCCTCCAATGTGCACTCCGACCCTGAGCATCCGACACCCTGTTCTGTTCTGAGTGGGCATTCCACCAAGTTGGCGAGAGTTGAATGAGTGCTCATGATCAAGGGGTTCAACTCCACTCTGGGTAACACAGGAAGGTGTATCAATGTGTCCCTAGTCTTTCTAGAAAGATAGTTCTAGCTACCAAGACACAGAAAGAAGAAACGTTCTATGCGGTCAGCCCTGTTATAAAAATGTAGGAAAGCAGATGTAACACCATGGGTGTGACTGTCACACTAGGTCACCACTATTTACAAGAGATGGGCACATGGCTTCACCGTGCAGAGGGAGCTGACCCCTGGTTCACTTGGCATCCCCTTCGCGAGCCTCACTTTATCCACACTGCGGGTGGCCATGCCTCCAAGTGGCCTCCAGGTGGCCATGCCTCCAGGTGGCTGGTCTCTCCAGCCCCCATGTCCTCTTCATGAAGAGTCTCGCTGGGGCCACCTCAGGAGGACAGGCCTAGGGAGAAGGAAGACCTGGGCCAACTTAGCTGCAGGCTTGGGCTCTTTCGAGCAAGAAATTCTGGGGTCCCAGGTGCCCCAACCACACTCTGACAGATGGGGGAGGACGTAAGTGGTCTACGGATTCTCCACAGTGGTTGGGGAGGGGAGAAGGAAGTGGGGCCTGGGCAAGGCAGAGGTAGCTCTTGCCTGGGTCTGAGGGGAGTCCCGGGTGAGGATGTACTAGGAGCTGGGAACACCATGCTTCCTTCCTTGTCGTCCGGAGAGTCCAAAAGAAAGGTTAATGGGTGTGCAAACTTCATGAAGATGCCAACACCTGGCCTGGCCCACCAAGACGTCAGTGGTTGCGCCTGCTTTTTGTGCATGTGGTAAGGTTGTTGGTGTGCACAGGGCCCCGCTGGTGAGGTGGAATGGTTGCTGGATACAGGGAGCAGCCCTGCAGTACTTTCCAGCCTGCTGTCCTCCCAAGGCTTACCCATAGAAAGGAACGAGGCGTGTGCAATTGGAACATAACTACTCAGAGAAGCTCATGACACCTTTCGTCTGGCAATTCAAGAGCTTTCCTCTTAACACTGAGCAGACTTTCAGTGAACTTGAGATTCCTTACCAGGTCTGAAAGGAGCCTTCGAGGCCCAGTGGCTCAAGCACTAGGCTGTTGGCCACAGGCTGTGGTTCGAACCCGCCAGCTCAGCAGAAGGTTGAAGCAAGCGGCTTTTGTAAAGGGGGTGGTTGTCGTTGCTGTCGTAGGTGGCATCCACTCAGTGACCCCACATACAGCAGAAAGAAGTGCTACCTGGCCCTGCGTTCCAGCCCACTGTGGCAGCCGTGGGGCCAGCCATCCCATTCTGCACTGCCCCGTGGGGTCCCCAGGAATTGGGATTGACGAGCCTCGGTGGGTTGGGTTGAGTTGAAAAGTGCTCTTTTTGATGGATAATCTTAGGAATGTTGCCTAGGCATGTTTTTGAATGACTTTTTCACTCCCCCCAACCCCCATCTCGCTCACAAGACGTGTTCTTAGCGGTGACATTAAAACACTCTGTGGAGGGTTGCTCCGACGAGCGGTGACTGTGTAGGTGCACTGGCTCCGCCGGTGCGGGCTCCATGAGGGGACCCTTTAAAAGCCCCTGTCTAGTGAGCTGATGTTAAAGTAGAAGGGATCACTTGGGGGGTGGGGGGGTGGATGCCTCTGAATGGCACCAGGAGAAACTACGGGACTGCCCAAGGTGCGCTCTATTGCGCATCTCCCAATAACAGCAACAATGTTAGGATACTTGAGAATTTTGAAAAAGCAACTATCCTAACGCAGCAGCTCTAGATTGGGGTCTTTATTGCGCCCGACGTCAATCGTGCTGTCCTCCTTGGAAGCACAGAACGCTTAGGACTGGCCCCCAAAGGGATGAAGACCAGTTGACTGAGACCTTTCAGACCCCCTGCTGGCTCAACAAGCTCTGTCCTTTGCTGGTGCACAGCAGCTACTTGTAACGGGGCCTCAGGGGAAAGACCAGGGTCCGCTCCATGAAGAGCCACGGTCTCTGAAACCCACAGGGGCAGTTCTACCCTGCCCTCCAGGGTCCCGTGAGTCAGATCCACTCTGCGGCAGTCAGCTTGGCGTTTTTAAAGGGTCCCTAGTGGCACCATGGATTAAGTGTTAGACGGCTAACCACAGGGTTAGTGGTTTGAACTCAGATAAGGCTGTCTGGGTCACTCTAAGTGACAATGGGCCCGGCAGTAGTGAGTTTGGGGCGCTCAGGTTGGGGGGGTGGGGCGGGAGGTAGGCAGTGATAGGTTGTTGAAGATGTTGCCGAATCTGTAACAGATGCTGAATCAAGTGTGGGCCGATGTCTTGTTTTCATTTGGGTCTGAAGACGAGTCTTGTTTTTTGACTCAGGCTAAGGAAATTACTTGTGTCACCAGCCCGAATTAAGAGAGCAGCCCTCTGGCTTTGGGACATTGCTTGGGACATTCTCTGCATCTTTCTGCTTGGATGCTAGCAGGAGCCCTACGAGGCTTTTCTGAGAAGGGCATTTCAGAGAGGCTGCCTGGGAGTTCTAGTCAAATTGGAGTTTGGGCGGGTGTTCCCCCAAGGGCAGACAGACCCCTAGGACAGACTGGACCTCCCCTCTCTTGCTCACACCCCCCCTCCCCCCACTGCCTTTCTTCCCTCTCCTCCTCTCCCTTCCCCGATGTGTGTGTTTTTGCTGTTTTGCTGGCCGTCAGCACGCTCATGGGCGTGTTAGCCGTGAAACAGGAACAACTCTGGCTTATCTCTCTGATTTCCAGTGTCACTAACTGCATTTTATTTTGAGATTCCTGGTGGTGCTTGGCAAAGATAAACAAAAATCTTCCATCAGGAAACCTGTGAGCTATTTCCACAGGAAGTTTCAAATCACTAAAGTAAATAGACGCAGCCCGCATGCTTTCGGTCGCGTTCCTGGGCCTCACTCGGCCACATCCCGAGGCCTCTGAAATGGTCCTGGGAGAGGTGGTTTGCTTCCTTGCCACCAGGGCTCCACTCTCCTGCTTGTGCAAGGGCTGGGGGCGGGGGGGGGGGGGTGAGGGGAAGGAGAGAGGGCCATGTCACACGCCACACCCCTCGAAAATGCTCCAGGTAGAGAAATCCTGCAGCTGAGCAGCTAGGAGCCCTTGGAAGCGCGGTGTTTAGCCGCTGAGTGTTTAGCCCGCTCAGGGGCTAACGGAACCCAAGAGACAGGAGGGCCCGGCAGTCTGTTCCCATGACGCGTACAGGCTCGGAAACCCTAGGGGGGCAGCCAGCTCCCCTCAGGCACCGGCACCCAACAGCGCCAAGATTTTGTGTGAAAAGGGACCAGCTGCTCCCTCATCTTTGGGAACTTTCTGAGATTTTCATCTTAAAAAGCAGGAAAGCCTCCACTGGCCTCCTCTCTCTCCCCGACCACTGACAGCTTCACTAGCCGGTGCTGCCCACCGCTCCCAGGTTTCAAATGAATGCTTGGCATTCCTTCAGAGGTGGTTCTCGATAAGGAAGCCAGAGCTGCGCTAAATCAGAAAAACAAGCAAAACGAGATTGAGGAAAAGACTTGATATGACATCTAATTTTGGACTATTGTCCCCTTCAGGTTTAAAGGTTTCTTTATAGCTTTGTGTGCAGAGGATGATGATAATAATAATAATAATAACAGCATAACACAGTGCTTTTCATCTTCAAAGTACTTTGTAGAATGTTGGCCCAAATTCTTTGCTCAAATGTAGGAACAGCACCAGCGATTAGCAATGGGGAGGGAGAGAGCAGAGCAGTTCACAGCCAGGGACCAATGGTTTTTTTTAACCCTTTGTGAATGGGCCCCCATGACAGATAGGGAGTCCCACAGGCCCAGAGTTAAATGCTGGTTCAGGTTCAGGAGGAGGAGGAGGAGGTCTTCTGGGTGGAAGCGGAGGTTGGTTAGACCATGACACTGGAGAAAATGACCTTTAATGAATGTCACTTTCAGAACATACTTCAAGCGTTTTTAAGGGTGAATTCGGTTTCCCAAAAAGGTTTTTCCATGCATGCTTCCCCCTTGCCCCTTTCCCAACTGTGGAATCAGGCAAGGCTTCTGGAGTCCTGCTCTGGGTGTCTGGAGCGATCTCAACTTCTTTTTTGTCAGAGCAAGTAGCGGGCCTCATGCCTGGTCCAAAGTGCCAGCCAGGGCAGTGGGGGTCATCGGAAACAGCCGTGCGGCAGGGGGCTGGCGGGGGAGAAGGGACAGGGTTGTTGGGGGAGCACGGGTGTTTCCCTGGGAAAGTTGAGGTTGAAAGTAGGGTTAGTTGGCATCGTGAAGCATCCCGGCATGCACCTGGGCATGCCTCTCTTCCAGGGCTCCCACCTAACCACCTCCTGTGATTAAGTCGGATCAGAAAAGTTGCCTTAGTTTTGAGTCCAAATGGTTCCTCTCAATTTTGCCCACTTCAAATGCCCATTTGCTAGGGATACCATACATGATGAAGAAGTGGGAAATGTGGGATCTTCCCAAGGTAGGGTGGGGTCCAGTGGGGGTGGAAGACAAAGCATGCCTCTTTGAAAGGCCACTTTGGGTCAATGAGCAAAATGTGTCCTCATTTCTCTCCCATGTTGCCTTTGCTGCCTCACTTCTGATGGGATGGGCTTCCACTGGCTCACACCTGCCTCCTTTGGTCAGTCGCCCCATGCCCCTGGCGAGGAGCGGCAGACTCAAGCTCTCTTTGGTGACCCTGATAGCACTCCAGGTGTAAGGGTGTCAGGGTACGTCGCTGCTCCGTCTGTGAACTGAAGCTCCCCCTTCTTGTCTTTGCAGATGTACCCAATGGATTCCACGTCAGCTTGGACAAAATGCCCACGGAAGGCGAGGACCTGAAATTGTCCTGCACAGTTAACAAGTTCTTGTTCAGCAACGTGACTTGGCTCCGGCTCCTGACAGTGAACAATCGATCCATGCAGCACAGGGTCGGGAAGGAGAACGTGGCGGTGGCCCGAGAGTACTCCATGACTCTGAGTCTGACCATCAAGAACGTTTCCCTACAAGACTCGGGCACCTATGCCTGCCAGGCCAGGAACCTTATCACAGGGGAAGACGTTCTTCAGAAGAAAGAAGTGACCATTCGAGGTGAGCACTGCACCCAAAAGGCTGTTTTCTCTCGGATCTCCAAATTTAAAAGCACGAGGAGCGATTGTGCCACACAAAATAATGTAAAGCATTAAAGGACTCCTTCTGAGTAACAGTTGTCTCATATCATCTTGATTTATTGTCACTGTTGCTAACCTTCCGGCTTCGAGGACATGCTCCTCCCAAAAACAAACAAACAAACAAACAAAAAAATACCAAAAAAAAACAATCCCAACCCCCCAAAAATCCCACAATGAGTTTGGAGATGATAGGAGTACTAATGAGACCCCTGTGGTGCCCCCTGTGGCGACCCTGCTCGGGTCTGCCCTCTGAGCCCGGCCTGGTGCACGTTTGGATTTGGAGGGTCCCTGCACTTCATTTCTCTGCCTCCTCCTTGCTGTCCCCTCCTACCTGGTAAAGGACGCCCAGGGACGCTGACTGCTCCTTTTCCTCCCACTTTGACGCCAGCCTCTGGTTCCTCTGCGCTCGAAGGGGCACAGCCTGAATCGCCTTAAACCGACGCTCGTTTCTGCCAAAGACGGACACCGAACCCCTTCACCTGCCAGCTCGCGACAGAAACCCGGCTGAGTTGGAGTCTCTTGTCGGGACCACTGCCTGCTTGGGTTTTTGTACTGTTTCATCTGCTCTTGATTTGTAAATAGCACCTGGATAGAAAGTTATAACGGTTATTTATTTGAAAATGCTACTTTTATATATAAATATATATATATATATATTAAACATACCAAGCTTCAACTGGAGCTCCTAGACGGGGCCCCAGAAGGAGTGGGGACAGAAGGCAGGGGCAAGATGTAACTTGGAAGCATTAACGCTTTCTCAGAACCGGAAGTATAAAAACCCGGACTTGTCAACGCCAGCTCCCTCACCTCCAGCCATTCTGAGTGGCTGGCCAGGGCCTGCCCCGGGAAGCAGGCCATGCCTTCCTTTGAAATATGTCTTCCCCCTTTGGGGGTTAGCCCAAAGGGCTTTGTCGCGTTAACATGATGCCGCTCGGACATTGTACCACACTCAGGTTCGCGGGCAACCAACGCTATGGTGTATCAGAGGTCTAAGTAATGCTTTCTTCCAGATGTAAAGTTACAGGGTGTCCATGACAGGACGGTCACTTTCTCCAGAGGCAAAGGTTAAGGGGACCCCCCCCCATGGGGATTAAGAAACGTGTTAAGCTTGCGTTTGGGGGGGGCGACGCTTCCAGATGCATTGTCTGATTGATCGTCCTATGCGACTTGCACACAGAAGGGAGAGGGTTTGATAGGAAATGACCCTCTGAGGACTAAAATAACCAGGGCAGCCAAACAAAGTGGCCAGGCGGCTCAGTGGGCGGGAACAGAAAGGACAGCTCTCCGGGTCCCCTCAGGCAGTTTCCTCCTCTAAGTCACAGGCTCTGTCCCCCGGCTCAGTTTCACGTGGGAATCGCTTTTGTGGAGTATAAAGGCGTAAACAATACCATTTCCCTAGAATACCAGTTTTGCAGAGCCCCACAGGGCTCTGAGAACAATTAGCAACCTGGATGTTGTCAGCCCAAAGGAAAGAATGATCAATTGTGGCGGGAGCTTTTACCTATAGCTCTTTGAGGGGGGGCGGGGGATGTCTTTGTTCCCTGTAGGTCTGTCTGTCCCTTCAGGAAATGGTGCCTCTGGGGTTTCAAACTTGGAGGCCTCTGTTTTTTTAACTCAAGCTAAAGCCAATGGCCTGATTTTTCAGGCTTGCGTCGGGGTGGGAAATGGCAAGTTGGGCAGGCAGCGTCCCCACATGCCTTACCCCTAACAATGCAACACGCCGTCTCCCTGGCCAAGAGGAGGCTGGTGAGACTTGCAGGAGGTGGCCCCAACTATTCCCAAGAGAGGTGTTTCAGGATTCCATCAAGTCACTCAGTGCTCACTATGCCGTGATTCTTTCCCCAACAGCAGCAAGCAATGGGGAGAGGCCTTTTTTTTTTTTTACTTTTTTGTTCTTTGGGGTGTGAAGTGGGGCAAGGCTAACAGACCAAAAGAGAAAGAGGCAGGGAGGTGCACCTTAATATGGAGAACCACTGAGATGGAGTTGGGGGTGCAAGGCTGGATCCTTTGTCCTCCTTCCACAAGAGAATAGAAGCTATGGACTTGGGGGGAGTGGGGCGCACTGGCAGATCAATGGGGACTAAACTGAGATCCTGGTGGAGAACTTTCCTTGGTATTGGGAACCAGCAGAAATCCCATTAACTCCAACTGGCATCCATTGAAAGTGACCGGCCACTTGTGGTTCAGTTTGGGAAATCAGCTGCCCAGGTTCATCCAGCAACATAGGTTTTTACCTATGCTTTCACTGAGCCCAATTGCCAGTGTCAGAATCCACTAGCACCAGGTACAGGAAGGGGGAATTCATAATGCTTGCGCCCTTAGAAGCTAGCTCCCAGGCGAGACTGTTCACAGAGGAGAAAAGGTTACAAAGAGAGAACATAGGTCTCTGATAATGCATGTGTCAGAGGTGTCCAGGGTAGTCTGGTGTTCCGTAGAGACACCAGCGTTTATCCTGTTGCCCTTCTATGGCTTCTCTTCTCAGACACGTGTGGAGGCTTCCAGGAGTCTTCTTTGGCAGGGACGTCCCCCGTAGCAGCCCTGCTGTCCAATACATGCTCATCCAAAAATCATTTGGATGCTGACAGCCTGTAATCAAACTCCCTCTTTGCATTTCGTATTTCCTATGTTTTGCCTGGGAAAGAGTAGCTGAGCCCGGAGATGCTTCTAGAAGTCTGACTCGGGGAACTGGACCTGGATTTCAAAGTAGGCCTGGTCAAGTCAGCATGCTACTTGACCGCTGCACTGGTAGCCACGCTACTGCTCTCGATTGGTTAGTCAGGCTTCCCTGAGAGGTTTGGGCTCTCCGTGGCATCAACACGGAAGTAGCATGAGGAGGAAGCAGGGTCAGCCATCATACACGAAAGGCTGCAACACAAAGAAGAGAAAGGGAAAAGAGGCTGTCTGGCTGTGGAGGCAGAAAGCCATCAGGGAAGTGTTTTCATGGTCTGGCCTCTTGGGGGGCAAGCCAGAGCAGGAGAGAGGGACTTGTCCAAGCCAAAGGAGAGTTGATTCCATTTGTACATCAGAGGGGTCCTTAGACACTCTTGCTTTCCAATTTCACCCTGCTGAGAATGAGGGCAGATTCCTCATACGCTCTGGGAAAGCTAAATTGCACACCTGCCGTGTGTGGTTCAGGACTTCAGCACGCCATCGGAGTGATGGGGTCATATTCTGTTTAACCGAGAATTCCCACGCAGCGTGTAGTGAATGCTAACTATGTGGTCCCTCCAAGGCAGAGAGGAGGCAGGGCTCTGGGGATGCCCCTCGGGGGCCAGCTTCAGCTCTGTAGCACTGTTGTCATGTCTAAGCGGCTGTCACAGTTAAACTACACCAGGGAGGAGTGGAAAATGGCCCGAGAAAGCCCAGCTCATTGGAACTGCTGGTGTCTATACAGATTGTCTAAGTGACGCCCAAACTCTTCTGGTCTCTGTTCCAGGGTTTGCGTCGAGGGCGGGGTGGGGGCGGGAGGGATGGTTTGGGAGGGAGGGAATGCCATTAAGCATCGTTAATTGTTACCATTCTTTCACCTTGGACAAGTCAGGCCGACCAACCCAGGACCCACCTAACTAGAATGGCTACGTTTCAACAGGACGGCAGGCCTCAACCGCCTTGGTCCCCTGGAGGCACTGTAGCGGGCGGGGTCTACTGGCTGCGGCTGCTCCCTCTGGGCTTTCCATGCTGTGATGTACTTACTGCCTCCTAATGTATTTACGTCCATTTCGTTGTACTATATTGGTTGGCATTTTATTCAAACAAATTGTATTGTATCATATTGTATGTGTTAAGAGAAAATAATATAAAATACAATATTTGTACTATCATATAGTGCAAAAAAACTACAAAAGCTGTGCCTTGGTTTCTTGAATTTGTTCTTTGGCCTTGCCTCTGGGGAGGGAAGGGAAGAAGAAATCAACAGGAAAAGTTTCAAAGGTTGAGAATTCTCCCATTGGGCCTTCACTCGTGCAACGTAGGCCACGGACAGTTTGAGGTACACAGTTTGAGGTACACAAATACATCCTGACAAACACGTGAATAAAAAGACTCAAGAGTTCAACAAATGCCATTATGACGTTAGGTGTTTCCATGAAAGTTCATGCCAAGCCTCTATGCAAAGCCAGGCTGCTCACTGGCATCTGCTGTGTGAAATGCTTGGGTTTAAAAAAGCGTGCCCCGAGGAAAGGAGGACACGGGCTTGAAATCTCAAACCCAGAGAGCTGAGCTCTTGATTGGACTCTGTCCTAACCAAGGTCCAGCTTCAGTGTCGCAGCTTCGAGCACAGGGAGAGCACGTTACCCCTGCCAGAGAAAGGTCGGTGAACAGAAAGTACAACTGAAAGCAGAGAGCTGGGCTTTGTCTGGATGTTTCTGTAGGCATGTGAGGCGTGCTACGCGAATACAACCAAAGAATTCGGCGGATGCGTAATCAAAATTCCCTTTCTTTATTCACTAGATCAGCAAGCGCCATACCTCCTGCGAAACCTCAGTGATCAAACAGTGGCCATCAGTAACTCCACCACTTTAGACTGTCATGCTAAAGGTGTCCCAGAGCCTCAGATCACCTGGTTTAAAAACAATCACAAAATACAACAAGAACCTGGTAAGAAATTTTTTTGGTTTTCCATGCGCTTCCTCTTTCTCACCCCCTCCTTCTCCCCTTCTTCTGACCTCTCTGAGGGCTGAAAACAAACCACTGGGACTCTGGGCCACAATTACCTCAACTTCCAATGACGAATCTTTGAGCCAATTGTTATGCTGACGACAGCCACTCTTCTAGAAAGATCCTTCTACAATCTAACCACCTGTCATGGCTGCTTTAAACAAGGGGTTCAGGGAAGGGAAAAAATAAATAAATACTTAAAATGCTCAGAGCTACTTAGCAAATTGGAGTGAGGGCTTTAATTCCTGGGCTTGAGGGGCAGCTGACCTTTGAACATCTACTGTATGAAAGTTGACTTCTAATCTTTTAAATTCATCTACCCCCATCTTCGTCATTTAAAAGAGAATTATTTTCAACCATATCTCTAAAAGAAAATCTAAACTCAACCAGTATCTGTGAGTTTCTTTTGACAAAAGAAAACATTCCTGAAGACACATAAGGAAACCGGTGGGCTTCTGTTGGATTGGAACTCTGGGAAGTCCAAACCCTGTCCACTGCCTGCTATGTAACTCCGTGGTTAGAGAAAATGAAATTAAACTTATTTTAGAATGTGGGTTAATAATGCTACTTAATGGCAAATACAGGTAGTCTGCTTGTTTGCTGTGCTCCATCATCCTTCATAAAGCAAATAAGTGGCCATGTGGAATGGGCTTTGAATGTTCGTTCTCCAGTCAAAGTGGAACCTCCATTCCCATTAAGCACAGAATGGAGTTATGGTATAATGACCTCAGATATTAAGATATGCAAAAAAGGCCTGGCATTCCACGGGTCCAAAGCTCATCATCAACTCCATTTTTCTTCATAAAGTAATAACATCTTCTCCCACGCTAACATCATGGACTTTATCATCCACACTAGAAGTCCATGGCCTCTTGTTGACCTGTCCCACCTCACCCCCACCCCGCATCTAATCCATCACTACTTGAGCAGGTAAGAACTGCCAAATACATTTCCAGATCCAGCCCTCCCTCTTGCTTCCTACTGTCATCCTCCTGATTTGGGTGCTCTTCACCTGTCCCCCGAGCTTCTCTACAGAAACGCTTCTCTAGCTGCGCTTCCCACCGCTATCTTCTTTCTCTGCATCTCTTTTCCACACAACAGTGTGAGGGTAGCAATGGACATACCTCTTCAAGTCTCCCACTGACTCTCCATCACACAGCATGACACCCTCAGCAACAGACCCCTGCCAGCTCCTCCTGTGCTAGGTCTTAGCCCCCGCCGGGAGCTGGATGTTCTTGTCGACCCCTCCACACACTCCGCTGTCCTCTCCCCGTGTACTTTTATTCTGATGCCTCTTTGGCACGGAGTCCTTCCCTTCATCTAATGTCTGCCCAGCCCGTAAGACCCAGGTCCGGTAGCCGAAGAGAAAGAAGCTCCTTTAGGCGTCTTTATTAGTTCCGAGTATTTCTACTGCCCTCTGACTGTGTTGTTTAAATCATCGGTTTACATGTGTCTGCACTGTCGATGCATCTTTCTGCTACTCTCCTGTCTACGCACACTTCAACATGTTTACTGTTTTCTTACTATTTTTCAATTGTCAATTCACACAGGTCTCCTTTCTTTGAGGGCAGATCTGGCATCGCACTTGTCTTAAGTGCGCCTTATTTGTATGTCCTTATAACGTAGCGTGGTACTTGGCAATTTCAGTACTGTCTCTTGAGTGAATGAATGAATGGTTTTCAGAAGATGGTTATTCTATATTTAAGCCATTTCATTTGCTAGCACAAATGCCTGGATTTCAGGTGAGTTAGATCACAGACTTTAAAGCTGAAAAGGACCTTTGAAATATTCCTTCATCTGATTTGTGGAACTGTAAACTCAGGTCCCAAGAGGTCATGTGGTTTCCCCAAGACGACTGTCTATGAAGATGGGTATTTCCAAAGCTTCTCAGGGAACACTAATCCCATGAGATGTTGTGCCACAATAAAAAGATGAACAAATGCATCAATTAACCCATCCATTGATAGCTTGTGTAACCAAGATTCAGAACTCACATCAGCATATTAAAGGCCCACCAACTCTTGTTCTAAAGGAATCTGCTAAGCTGTGTTTATTAAGCTCCATTTTACCCAAACGTGCTTGATCACACGGTATAATGTGTAAAATGTTAGTGTGCCGTGTTGGGTAACTCTGAAAGGAGCAAGGTTGGCTCTAGCCTGGTTCTCCTACATTGAATGTGGGGTAATTCTGAAAGTCTGTGACCGTGCTGGGCATGGAGGCAGACAAGTCAAGAGACAGTGCCGAGGCAGAAGCATGGTGCTGAAAGCTCACTAAGGCCGTGCAGTGCAGGAGGAAGAACGGGGTTTGAGGCTCAGCTTGGCTCGCTGGGGTCACACAGGAACTTGGGCAACTCACTTATTCTTACTCCCTGAGCCACCGTTTCCTTCTTTATAAAATTGGGGTGGGTGCTGTGACAACGCAAGGATGTTGCTCCTGCGGTCGACTTACTCCTGGCCACGGAGAACCCGAATCAGCATAGACTGAGTCAGCATAGATTCACCATAGACTGATCAGCATAGACTGAGTCAGCATAGATTCACCATAGACTGATCAGCATAGACTGA